CTTCTAGCCTCCTGGCCCTGTTTCTGCTGTCCACCACCTCCTTCCCGTGTCTCTCCACAACTCTTCCTGCCACTTTTAGCCTCTCAGCCCCCCTCATTTCTGCCTGGGCAGTGCCTGCCCCTGCCCACTCCCTCACCACAGGGGGCATTGATTTGCCCCCCACCCCTTCCCTCCCTCCTCTCCTTCCACCACCTGGACTTACCAGCTGGAGGGGGTTGTATCAGAAATCATATCAGTATGCCTCCTTAAATATCGGCTATCGGTATCAGCCCCAAAAATTTCTATCAGTGCACCCCTACCCAGCAGTTAATATTTTATTGTGCTTCATCATTGGCTGACTTTGGGTATATTAATGTAGTATTTCTTTATAAATCTAATAGTATACAAAGTATACTCTTGCTAGAAACTGACAAAGGGCAACAAACTATCTGAAGCAAGAGAACCAAATTAATGTTTCCGTTTTGTTCAAGGGCCTGCCCCATTTGGCTCCAGTTGGGTAAAACACTACTGCACATATAAGAAACAGACAAAAACTTTCAACATGATCCCATTTGAACACAGGTCGGGAGGGAAAGCAGTAAGTATATTTCACTTTTACTTCTTTCATGCCATGTATCTAAATAAGAGAATGTGCCAGATAAGATATATCAAATATCTCTTTTTCATGCAATTTACACTCTGCCCTTTCAGGATATTAAACTAAAATAATGGAATGGTTTAGTAGGTAAGAATTTTGTAGAAATTTCAATTGCTTGCTTCTAAAAGAACAGTGTCTATAAGAGTTAGAATACACCTCTCTCTATCTTTTTAGTGTCTAGCTTGCACTGTAGGGATTTAATTTATTAAAGTGTGACTTAAGAAAATACAGTAAACTTGGGAGATTCTCTTTTATACTCTCCATCCAGATTCTTCTTCCAATGCAGCTGGATGGGAGAGTTGGAAGAGAGTCTGGTTAGGAATCCTTTAAATCCTTTTCATATTGGCATCATAATTTGCACTGAAAATCTTAATATACACTTTCCCTGATAGCCTTGATATTCAGGGCTAAAGAGTCTGGATGCTGAATGCCTTAGTTCCTGTGGAAGTTGAGGGTGCTCAGCATGTTGCAGGATCAGGCTTGAAATGGCTAAATGAAGGAGCAGAAGAAAAAACAGAAGACAGAAGAGGCATTTATATCTTCTGGTCAATCTTAGAGTTCAAATGCTGTTTCTTACCCTGTCTTTTAAGTGTAATTTTAAAAGTTTCTCACAATGGGGTTTGTTTGGGGGATCATATTTGAGTGTTCTTGATAGAAAGGAGATTGTGTGCATAATCCCTCCTGAAATATTTTTATTTTCATTTTGCTTATATGGCTTTTGGGTAAAACTTTCAAAATTGCTCAGCTGACTTCAGAACCAAGTTCTATTGTAAGGCAATAGCATTTCTGGTCCTTAGTCATTTTAGAGGCTTTCAGATATTTTCACACTAGTTTAATGCAATTGCATTAAGTCCTCCTAAGTAAAACAATGAAATCTATAGGTATGGATGCACCGAAAAAGCAACATCGCTAAAATGAAATAGCTGCATGTTATGGTGAAAGCCAGTGCTTATAGGGAGTAGTTTACTTGGAGTTACTCACAGGTTAGTTAAGGTATTTAGTCTTTGGGTACTGTAAGGGTGGGTGGACAGTTTATTATCTGAATGTACAGAGGCTTGTTTTGAAGGGAAGGCATACCCTACGAGGCAAATTTCAGAGTATCAGAACTCCTTATTTTGCCTTAAACACTATAAAGTAGAATTTGGAATATTACTGTTTTGACAAAAATAGTACAGTGACAGTCTTTTACAGAAAATTTACCCTGATGATATCATTGTTGGAAAATAGTAATTCTTTTTATTAAGATGTTTAAACTCCCATATTTTAAACCAAAAATTTCTATATTTGCTGCACCTGCAGTCTGTAAAATAACCTTGAGATTTCTGCAGTACTATGTACTGATTTGCAGCTGTAACAATTCCATTGCATTTGTCAGTTCCAATCCAGCTTTTGCTATTATTTTAATACGGGTTATCATATTTAGTTTGCATCAGTGGCTTGCTGACTCTTTGGATTTCAGTTTGGCTCTGCTATCAGGCATATAATAATCTATCTTATTTACAGGGTGATTTGGAAACCTTCTTTCTTACCTACTGTACCAAAAGAAATACAGATACTATAGATAGACGTTTCTGTTTTGACATGGAAGCTGCAGACAGGTAAGCTGGTGAAATGTACTGAACAAGTAGTCAGAAGAAATGTCAATACAAGTTTTCAGAATTTATATTCTGCCTTCAGATATGACCAACTCCTTAACACTGATGCATGATTGAATGTACTGAAGTGGAGGCTTCTCTCCCTGTATGTCTGCTGTCAGTAACAGTCCCACTTGTCACTGGTTAATATGCAGTGTCTCTCTTGTATATTTTTTCTTTTATTAATCCCCATGACAGACAAAAAACGTGTAATACACTGGCGGTCCCTAGGAAAGTTTCCTTTTTTAGTCTTACCTCTGTGCACTTCCATGAGTTTGGAAAAACCCAGAGATACCAGGAACTTTTTAAAAATCTGAGAAGAATTGTTTTTTTAAATGCCACTTTGCTTTTTTCCTTTCCCTTCCCTGTCACTCCGTTATCTCTTCTCATGAAGTGGCACTGATGACCTGTCTGTTCTTATGCATAATCTCTACCTTTTTGCCATCTTAAAAAAGGTCAAAGAGGTTCTAATGTTTTTCTAATGTCACCCCTTTGCAGCTACGGGCTTCTGACCCATTTAGTTTACTCCCTCTTCTCACCAGTTAGACATTCCAGAATGTCACTTAATTGGTTTTTTAAGATTAAAACATTTCATTTTTATGATGTGTTCACTGCTTTCAATTCACTGTATACAATGGCGGTGATTTTCTGAGATTATGCTGGTATGTACTATGCACATCAGTGAAAAAGACCAGTTCATGTGAGAGGCCAAGACATGAAAATGCCTGCCTGAAGCATCTGAGTTTTTTATCATCCCTTTCCCAGGTAGTGACACAGAAGAGGCTTTCACTGAGCTAATAACACTCTGAGAACCCTTTTTCTTTAACAGCATCTCACTCTTCTATGGTGCATGCTGCTGATCCAGTCACTCATTGAGGTAAATCTCAATTTCTGCTGAGAGGAAGCATCCAAACACTTCTCTTGATGCTTGATTTTGAGAGGTAGTATGAGCCAGGCCTACTCAACTTTGCTGGATTCCAGGGCCCTGAATGACTGTGAAAATTGCTCACCAAGTCCCACTCCTCTCTCAGCTTAGCACATCCCCAGCCATTATGTTCTACTTCATCCTCTGGGAAGTCTTCCTCTTTTTCCCCGTCCTGGGATTTCTTCCATTGCAGCCTCCATCTAGCAAGTTCCTTCCCTCTGTTGTCATTGGGAACTGTCCAGCACCATTCCCAATGCCTAGGAACTCTGGCATCTAAAGCTGCCCAGCTAGAACCAAACTCCTTTCTCTTTTATAGTCCTAAGGAAGCAAAGCTAGTTTCACAATCAGCCAGAACTGCAGTGATGCTTTCCTGATACCCTTTTGGAATTGGGCTCACAGAGAACCATCCTGAGCTGAACTGTGTCTTGAGCCAGTGTGGTTGGGAGACTAGTTTCTGTAGCTAATGGCATACAAAGGAGTGAGGTGATTGGCATCATCTCCAGCTGCCTCTGATTCCCCAGCCTAAACAGTCCAAATGACCACTTGTAGATTGGTTGACTGGGGGCAATATTCAACATTAGTCCAGAATGAGGCTCAAGCACTCATGGCTCTGAGGAAAAAAAAAAGAAAGAAAAAGGCAGAGGACAGAGAGTTGGCATTTTCATTGCATTGGCGGGACTTGGTTAAAATGTCTTACTACAGATTTGACTCTCTGTCCTCTGCCTTTTCTTCTTCTTCAGCATTGTGTTCAGTTTGTGCAATAAATTCAGTCTAGAATGCATCAATTGATTTTTATTTCTCCCCCGCTCCCCATTCCCTCCCACATGTTACGACTGGAAGCATATCTTCCTCTAGCGCTTGCATGTCAGCTCTTTGTGCTTGGCAATGTTCAACACAGGAAAGTTAATTGAGATAGAGATAATTGAGATGTGTTTGGTTGTGCCTGCAAGACCATTCACATCCTTCTGCCCTCTGTAAAAAATGGAATCTGACCAGTCCTCCTCTCCTGGTATAGAGGTGTATCCCCTTGTGGTTAGATAACATGCTGCCTGCTCAGTAAAGGCATTGCCTGAGATGGAAGTGTCCAGCTGATGTAGGTGAGCGGCAGCACCCTTAGGTTCATAAGTATCAGTCTGGATAGCATAGCCCCATATGGCTTAGACTCTCTCTTCCCTAAAATGTGTCCAGAAGACTGACCACTTGTCATGGATTTTGTGCAGGAGCTGGCAACCTTTAACAAGCCACAGGCCTTAACAACCCTGCTCTGATCTGATGCAGTTGGGTGGCAGCAACACTGGGGGCTGGGGGAATGCATGAAGGGGTCAGGCAGCTGGGAATGGTGTCTTCAGTGCTGCTGCTTCTCCCTGTCCCCACCCACCTCCCAGCTGCAGTGCAGCTTCCCAGTGGCTAGAATAGTGGTTCCCAGTCTTTTTTTTACCATGGCCCGGCAGGAGCAGGACAGAGTGTGCAGAGCCAGCTGCCTCCCTCCTAGGGCTCCCCCATCACTTGGCTTTAACCCCAGAAGCTCAGATGTGACCCTGGAAGCCACTCAGCTGGGTGGATGGACGGGGCTCCAAGCGGGGGGGCTCATGCCACGACCCTGCAGGCAGCCTGCCTCAGCCCGGTGGTTGGGAACCTCTGGGCTAGAGGATGCATCCATGCCACAGCCAGGGAGAAGGAGGCTAGAGGAAGTGGTGACAGTGTGGGTGTGGACTCAAGCTGCCCAGCCCTAGTGCAGTTCCACCCTGCCCTCTCTGTCTAACTCTAGGGTGCACAGAGGCATGGGTAAAGCCCTCTATCTTCATGAGCCTCATGTTGCCAAGCCCTAGTTTTATGGATCCCAGTGGCTTTCCTGGCAGGAAGAGTGAGTCTAGAATCTAAGGCAAGTATCTCAATGGAAAATGTTTAGCCTTGCCAATAAGCTGACATCAGTTTACACTTCCCAGGATCTTGTAACGAGGAAGTGACATCCATTTTTCTTTTATAGAGGCAAGTGAGATTTGTCCATTTTTTCCTCAGAATTCAAAGTACTCAGGGCTGTGGGTGTTGTGGAATTCACAACTGTCTCAATCAAATAGCAAACAGCTGTCAGGATTTCTTACCTAATGTCTTTTTTTTTTTCATATCTGGCACTTTTGACTCTCCAGTGTGCACAAAATAAGAATGGTTCTGTGGTGTGGGAATCATTTAATGCAGGCCTGTCCTGCTTCTCAGTGGTTGGGGCTGCACCCCATGCAAGCCACGCTGGGAGGGGGCTGCACCCTGTGCTGGCTGCAGTGGTCCAATCTAAGGGCCTCTCCACAGCTGCATAAAATGCATGGGCAGTCCCCTTCCCTGCTTCATCCTACATACAGGCAATCTGTCATTCCCCTCCCCACCACCCCTATTTCCCCGCTTGCTCCAGCAAGCAGTCATTATATCGTGTACACCTATGGATTCCCTACCCCCCCAAAAAAAACCCCCAACAAAAACAAACCCCCAAAAAACTCAACAGCAGAAGGTTCCTGAATGCTGTGCAACTCCCTGGGGCAGGAGCAGAAATCAGAAGCCGTAAGGGAAGGCTAGATCCCCTGGCTCCACCGGAACTAGAATGATATGAAGCAGCAGCTGAGTGAGAGCCTGGGGGATACAGATTAACTCCTTGCAGGCTGCATGCAGCCTGCAGGCCACCAGGTAGACAGCTCTGAATGCTCTGAAGTACTCCCACCTCTTGAGAAATATTGTTACACAATTAGTGTGTTTGTCTTTACAATGACAGTTTTGAGTTTGTTTCTACTTCTTCCTAAACAGGAGTAATTTTTTAACAGATTATGATGTTGCTTTTTATACTGTATTCTGTGGGTGCAGCTAGAAGTAACCTTTGAAATTTTTCCAAGTGAAATGCACTTAAAAATGCTTCAAAGAGGAAGCATTTTCAGCTGGGGGAACATACCTAAACTCCTATGCCTCCCCTCTCATCCCAGCTGGAAAATTTCAAAATTGTCATGGCTGCATACAGCAGTAGCTTTCCAACCAAGGGATTCAGGGTGGCAGAGGATATCTCTGGAGGGGTGGGAGCAGTGGTGGGGAGGTCCTAGCTGTGTACTGACAGCCCCAATCCTCTCTACCTCTCCTCTCCATCTCAGGAGTGGAGAGAGAAAAAGGAACTAGGGATGAAGACCCCTGTATGTGGTGGCAGCTCCGTGGGCATCTCCAGCTCCAGTCCATTCTACTTCTCCACTCCCCTTCTTGCTGGAGGCAGTGGCAGGCCCTGACTGGGAGTGGGACCTCATAGCTGTATAGTCTGCCAGCTATCACTCAGCCTGCTCTCTTCCTTTTCCTGTAGAAATGGAGGGGATGAGGGGCATACTGTGGAATTTTGGAAAATACATGGGTTGTCTTTTTCCATTCAGACGTAACAAAAAGTGAAATGCTTCTCAATATTACCATATTTGTACCGCTGGCCCTCTGAAATGTTTCAGAGACATTTGAAATATTTCAATTATTACTTCTGTCCATGCCCTGTGCGTCTAACATGCACCTTCTCAGCTTCTGATTTGGAGTCTTCATAGTACTTGTACATGTCACCAAAAGCTCTATTTTACCTTGGTAAGAAGCTTTATAACTGCATGATTTATGCATTGATGGGAGATCAATGCAGTATGCTTTACTTATACTTGGTCTTTTTTCCTAAAATATCCCACAGTCCCTACCATACCAATTGATTTGGTTCCAACAAACGTAGAAATGGTGAGAAGTGCTAGCATAGCCTAAGGACACTGTCTCCATTATCATTCTTGTAGCTTAGATGTAATAGTGACAAATTATGGGAAGTAAAATTTTCAATGGAGACAAACAGTCTTGGGCCACATACAGATGTTAAGTTTCTTTAGGGAGAGTCACTGCTCTCTCAGGTCAAACCATGAGTGTACAGATGTTCAGAATTTTTCTTCCAGGGTAAAAATGGCTGCTACACCAGCAAAATAACTGGGTTAAATATATCCTAGGAGAGTTTCTCCTGGGAAAGCAAATGTCTGTACAAGCTCTCTTTTCAGAGAAGCCACAGCACAGTCCAGCACCCCAAAGTCCTTTTTTCCCCCACCCCCAGGGAGAAGGCATATTCCTCATTGAATTTTACTGCTCCAGCCAAAAAAGGAACAGAATACACCTCCGTTGCAATCCCCACATTGCACTGCAGGAAGAGACAGGCTGGCTCTGAGCAGTCTGGGTCAGCCAGCCAGGGTTTCTCTGTGCCCTGCTGCTGTCTTTCTCTAGGGAGACAGAGAGACCTTGCAAAGCCATCTGAGATGTATGCATAGGACACCCCTGGCTGTGCTGCATCAGTACTGCAGCTCTCTCCTCTTCTGGGGCTCAGCATTAAAAGTCTGTGTCTCTGAGTAAGTTTCTTCTACCAGGAAAGCAAACCTGGGAGAATTCTCCCACATCATCTGAATGCATGTACGCAGTCTAAGTAGACAAGAAGGAATAGTATCTCTCCCTGGCAGGCTTTTCACTAGTATACAAAATGGTTCTTCTGAAAAAGTTTGTGGAATTGTTTTTGGTCCTTCTTATCTTCTTTTGTTAACATTCTTCTGGAGAGATTACTTTGCTTGACCTGTTTGTCTAGATTTCAGATTTTTGTGCTTTCACTTACAATTCCAGTGAGGAGGAAGAACATTTATACAGTATAAAAGTGACTTGGTTTTAGTTTTCACTACTGAAAGGAAGGAGATAAAAAGGGCCAAAGCAGTGTGTAGTCTTTTCTGCTAGTTCAGCTACTTCCTTACATTTTTCTCCCTTGCAGAATGATTAAGTTTCTACATTTATGATGATTGAAACTAAATACCACTAAATGGCCAATTTAAGACCTGAAAAAGCCTGTTTGGCCTGAAAGGAATGTTTTTCTCACATCTTACTGCTATTATAAGCATGCATTAGCTTATATTTAGCCACAAAGAGTAGTAGGTGCAGAAATTTTAATGAAGTGCCCCAAGGAGCTTTTCTTCATGGTTTGCTTTTTACATTCAATGGGGGGTGGGGGTGTTGGTTGTCTTTCAAGATGGTTGGAGATGAAATATGCATGCTCTGATAGAACCTTCATTTTAATTGATCTAAAGAGAAATATTTGTGCCATATGTTATTCTTTTCCATAATTATAATTGGCTCCCTTGAGTTCTGCATGGACTACTAAAGGGGAAGGCCATGGTTTTAAAATCTGAGGCCAAGGGCTTCTGCTTAAAGAACTTTGATTATGTGAAGCATTTTGCCTTAAAGTGTAATCTGAAGGAATCATGTGTGAGCTGGGGAGGAAAGCAACTTAATACTTACCTGTGTGCTGCTACACTGAAATTATATTGGGCAGGTAAATAAAACTTATGAGCCTGAAAAAAGTAGGTGAGGATGAAGCATAAATATTTCTAGTAGTACAAACATGAATGCAGCCCCCAGGCTATTTTGGGATAGAGGCTGGGGAGCAATTTAAACATTTTCTCTATGCTGTTGCCTTATTAAAATGGCACTTTCTTTTCCATAAGACTAGTTCAGTAATTGGAAGGCAGAAATTAAGAGAATCGAGATGTATATATCATATATATAAATATTCAGTGGCAGACTGAGTATAATAATACCCCTTTTTAATTGGCAGGAAAGTAATTGGAGGGAGGTAGTTAGCCCTGTTAGTCTGAAGTCAGTCAGAAGGGCAGGGTAAATATGCATCTTTCAGCATCAGATGAAGTGAACTTGGGTTCATGAAAGCTTGTGTGTGCTCTCTCACTATATATAGATCTTATTTAGTTAGTCTATAAAGGTGCATCTACCCTGTTTTCTTAAGACGGTATTGCCAGCATCTCTGCTCTTGCTTCATTTCAGCTTTTAACTTCCCTTAAGTTTGTACACTGTGCTGAGCTTCATCATTATTGGTGTTAAGTTTTTGCCTACTCTTAAAAAAAAAAATAAATAAATACATAAAATAAAACAAAAATAGAGAGAGAGTAGATTTATGTTAATCTCTGTATCCTGCAAATGACATTTACCGTCCTTCACTCGTTAGGAAAATTTTAGTAGATGGTTTCTTTTAATGAGGCGCTATGTTAAAAATGATTATTTTTTTGTAAAGACTGTTGGAATATTTATTAGAATACTATGCTTATTTTCCTCACTATTTTAACATTAAACTACACATTTCAAATAGACAAAGTAATTTTTAGATAAAATATTCCTCTTGCATGTGTTTGTTTTAAAATTCACAGAATTCAGTGATTCCAGTTAATGGAATTAACAAGTTTCTACTTTAAATTAAATAAATAAATAAATACATAAATAAACATTTCATAGTTGATTTCTTGGTTTTGAAGGTAGTGATGTGTATGTGTGTGTATTCTTCGTTGCGTATCTCTGACATTTAAAAACATTTGTCCATTGTGTATATTAGGCAATGTTCAGTGACGTACCAGTGCACACTATAGTGAATAAAAGTCATATGTATGTTATTTGCTTCTGATGGTATTTTGTAGACCTGGTATTCCTGTGACCATGCAGGCCTTCTCTGAAGACGAACGGAAACTGTGGGTGGAAGCCTTGGATAGTAAAGGAGGTGTATGTATATAATCTTTTTTCCACCCTCTCTTTTTGTTGTTATGTATGATGAATCTTTTTTCTTTGATTTTTTGCGTTTTAATACATTGTATTTGCATATTTCTGAAAATATAGCTTTACTGAAGACTATCAATGGAATAGGACAGAGATCTGTAAATCCTGAAGTGAAGGTGTGGTGCTTCTCCATATAACAAGAAAAGAAACAGTGATTTTTATGAATAGGTTCCATTACAATGATGGGTATCACTTTTCTAGCTAATCACTAGTGTAACTTAATCACTTTCACTGGCAGGCCCTACCACCTTACAGTGGCACAGACTTGAATAAGTCAGTAGTGTAGTGAATATAGTGAAAAATAACTTTGAAAAATTGAACTACAAACTCAAGAATGTCACTTCTCAGTTTCCTAAAGCTGACTTCATTTTTTTAATCAGTGAATGGGGGAGTTGTCCTCCTTTTTTGATTTATCTCACTGTACTTTAGAAGTACAATTAAATTGAAGAATTAGAATGCACATTGGTTCACTAATATTATGCTTGAAGGATATTTGGTCTGGTATATTAGTTATGCAGCCCAAGAATAAAGGGAGTTGATAGTGCTGCTATTTCTGTGTCGCAACAGATGGTTGCTGCAAATTTTGGAATTTGATTCTTTTATTCTTGGTATTGCAGTGAAAAACTTTTAAAACTCTGGAGATGTAACTTACTGTAACTCTTGAGGATGCAGTTTACATAACTAGATTGAGTTAGCTGAGGAGGTGGGGAGAATTCACAGAAGATCTGTACAAAAATCTAAACCTTATTGGAAATATTTTGCATTTGCCCATATTTCCATAAAATAAAAATGTTATCTCAATTCAAGTCAACTTAATCTCTGTCTGCCTGAGTCACTATAATGTATCTTGGGTTTTGTCATTTAGATGCCTTGTCCCCATTTGCACATTGATCTCGGTTCCCTGGCTTTCATGAATCCATTCCATGGATTCCCATGATGCACTGGAACAGTTTGGATGGAGAAACTACAGTGCATTTATGAGAGATTCATCTGTCTGAGGAGTGTGTTCCATCAGCAAGAACGGGAATATGAAATACCTAAGCTAGAATTCCCTTATGCTGATAGGACAAAAGAGATGGATATAGATCGGGGTGGGCAATTATTTGGGCCTGAGGGCCACATAGGGAGTTTCGATGAGCTGTTGCAGGCCGGACAGCACCCCCTGTCTCCCCCATGCAGCACAACTCAGCAAAACTCCCTGTGGGGTTTTGGGTGGGTGGGGAGCAGTGGTGGGAGTGTGCAGAGCCCATGATGACCAGCCACCTGCAGGCGGACATTGTGGGTGGAAGGCAGCCAGAAGCTGGAGCTGGAGCCCCATGAATGGAGGCAGGATCCACCTGGCTGAAGCTGCTTCTCACCCAGAGTGTGCAGCAGGAGCAGGAAGAGGAGCTGCAGCTGGATCAAATGCGAAGGGAGCAGAACAGCCCCACCAGTCTGGGCCCCAGCCAGCACACGCAGCTTCTGGTGGGGCTGTTCCCAGCGTGGCTGCAGCCAGCCGGGTACAACTTGGCTTGCCTCACCTCACCGCACCTCCAGTGGTGGCTCCTCCTCACACTCCTGCCTGTGCTGCATCACTCTGGGTGGGCGGGCAAAAAGGAAGCTTCAGCTGGGCGGGCGGTTCCTGCTCGAGGCGAGGGAAGGAGGGTAGCACTTAGGAACAGCCTCGCCCAAGCTGAATGTGCTGGTTGGGGTCTGGGCCAGCAGGCATGGGCAGGAGTGTGGTGTGGGCTTCCCCGACAGGAGTGAGTAGGGCTCAGCCCCATGCGGAGCACTGCAGGGGCAGCCATGGGCTGGATCCAGCCTGCAGGCTGTATTTAGCCCCACCTCTGGTGTAGATTGATATTGCCTGACCTCAGGTGGAACACAGATCCAGAAATGTTTAAATTTTGTCTCCCATCTCAAATAGTGTAACTATTTTCACCTTCCATTCTGATTCAGGATGGAAAGGTGTCGTAATACTCAAGATACCTTACAACCCAGTGTATTAGGTAAAGGCTTTTATTATCTAGCCAAGTGATTTTCAGATAGGTTGACATAGGACCCTTGGGTCCCATGAGAGCCTTTCAGGGGTGCTGCAGGGTGCCCCATAATGTCTTTAGCACTGGGTTCGTATTTAATATTTCTTGGTTTATGTTGAATTGTATTTGCACACCTAACAATGCAATAGTCTCACTTGTGGTGGTCTTTTGTGTTCATTTAAATGTTTTTTTTTACTTTGGAAAAGAGAAAAGCCAAGTGAAAACCAAGAGCTGACATTTTCAAAGAGGTGTCTGGAGTCTAAAAAGGTTGTGACCCATTGTTTTAGCCATTTAGTTGCTGTAGCTGTTCTTTTTTGCATTAAGCAGGGGACATCTTGAATCTCAGTTTATAAATGTTTTTTGCACTGAATAGTATTTTTTTTTGTCTGTTTTTTCTACTAGCTGTTCATCAATCTGAATAGACCTAACACCAGAAGGGAAGGGAGTAAGTATTTGAGCTGTTTTTAAAATTAACATTTTTGATAACTTTTAAAATTCTGAAATATATTGACTAGGTCTGTAAAGGACCATAATTCTGGTCAACTAAGCCCTGGTCTTGCAAGCACTTATAAACATAGCTTTTTATGAATAAGTTGATAGAAGTTATCAGATTTTCTTGCAGTAGAAACCCTCTTGTGTAGGATTAGAGTTCAGGTTCATGCCTGTTCTGAGGAAAAATTGTTCCATCATTTGTCTCATCTCACTTCATGCTCAAAGGACTTTAAAGACAAAGTTTATTTTTAAACGTAGCAAAAGTGCATTGTTTGAGAATATAAATGCACAGAAGCCAGAAAATTCAATGTTTTGGGTCAAAGAATCCATAACTCAATGACTTGCTACATGTGTATTAAAACATAGCGAAGATTAAGGGACAAATGCTATTACTCTCTGTGTCCCCAAATGGCAGTTTTCCAGTGATGTAAGTGGCATTTTTGGTATTTATGTAGAGTTTGTAATTCTATTACCTGTGCATTGTGAGCATGTAAATGTCCACTGAGAATGCACAGTAGGCTATGCACTGGCCAGGTAGGTACGAGGCTATCTATGTTTGTTTATACCTGAGTGAGCCTTAAGTAGAAGGGGCATTCCTGTTTCTCTTGACTTTCCAGAGCTGTGCTGCAACCATCTGGCCATAGCTCAGGCATTATCCAGTCCCCTCTCCAGCATTTCTTTTGAAGTTGGACCACTGGCCCTCTCATTCAGTATTTAGTAAATAAAATGGATGACAAGCAGTGTGGAACTTACTGCCTTATAGTGAACAAGGATCCAGGCTAGAATACCAGGCCCTTTTTCCCACCAGTGCAACATCCATGTGGTTGAACTACAAGCTGCCTAGCTTTGTCTCTTCCTTCTGATCCCACATATCTCTCAGTCTTGATTGCTCAGGGGTCCAGCCTTAAAAGGAAGGTTGGAAAGGGGAGTGCCTGAACTGTAGCCAAGTAGTTAAAGCACTATGCTGGGAAGTTGGACGCAGGTTTAAACCTTACCCTGCCCCTCAGAGGGCTGCACAGAAATTTGGGCCTCAAGTGTTACAAAACACTGGTGTATTCATAGATCGTGTAATCTCTTTGGCAGCTGCTGTGAAATAATGCATATGTCTTGTCTCTTTAAAAATGGAGCTACTCTAATTAAGCTCCTGCAGCGTTATGTGTATTCAGCGGCCTGTGCTTCAAAATAGTGGTGGGAGCACTTTAACTACATCTCATGTGATGAGCTTTAGTTAAGGAGCCCCCACAGCCATTTTGAAGCTTGGGGACATTGAATATATGCGACAGATGTATTCAGCACATGTCAGAGCAGATATCTGGCACATATATAGGTGCCCTATGTGTGGGTCAAGCCTTTACAAATATAAAAATGTGGAAAGCCTTGTAAGAAAATGACCTGGGATGATGAAATGGGATGATCTAGTTGCAGATGCTGCTGCTTTGAGTAGGGGGTTGGATTAGATGACCTCTTGAGGTCCCTTCCAACCCTCATTTTCTATGAGCTGCATACTTAATTGTGTTGAAAAGTTTCTCAGAATGGTTTTTCTTTTTTTTTTTTGTAGGTGCGCAGTTGGATAAGATAGGTTTCACAATTATTAGAAAATGCATCAGTGCCATTGAAACACGAGGTAACACATGAAAGAATGAATGAACATCTTAGGACTAGGAGAAAGTGGGAGTGGGCGTGGGTGGGAGGTAAGGAAAGTGTATGTGATGGATGTTAGTCTCATTATACCCACTGTAGGAATAGCAGCAGCTGGGAGATCAGAAACAGGCTGGAGCCTGCTTCTGCTCAGCCTTGTGTGCTACTTAATTCTCAATTTAGCCCAGGATTTGTGAGAAGTTCTGATAAGTGACCAAGGGACACTTCCTTTCAAAGAACTGTGGATATCGGCCAGCTGTTGCTGATCTATCACCAAAGATGTATGTGATTCCAGTTCCTTGTTCTGCATTTGAGTCCGACTGTCACACACTTAATATATTCATTTCACATACTCCTCATGAGGATTTTTGTGTTTTTAAAGGTTTATTTAGATTTGACTTTCAAGAAGAAAAATGTGTCTAGCTAGGCTGGAAAGTGAAACAAACTATTATTGGTAAAGCATTTCCCTTTTAAGAAAAGATTAAATTAAAATGGAAACTTGAGTACTGTTTGTCGCTCTTTTGAAAAGGTTTGGAATTTCAGGGTGTGAGCTTTTCTTCCAATCTAAACGTTTCAGATCTACTCCTGAAGGGGGATTTAGACATATGATTATGCTGGAGTTGGTTGTTGTGATTGTCCAGTGACCTGATATTGTACAGAGTACAACAGTGATAACTTCTTTTTGTATGCCACATTTCTAGTTTAGAAGATGTAGTGGGATAAAATAGTAGTTCAGTTATTTGCAATGAATGCAAGGTCTTATTGGGCAAAATCTTTCACCTGCACAGATTAGAATACAATATAATTGATAAATACAAGTAGTTCCAAAATGTTGGGGACTTAACCATGAATAGCAAAGAAAAATATGAGAAGTCTTTTATATTTGGGCTTGATTTACATCAGTTCAGTCTGACAGATTTGTGAATAAATTCAGATTAGACTAGATTTGAGTTAACACTTTTTTGGGTTTTCTGGGCTTTCAGATATCTGTCAAATTACCAGTATCTGCTTTATATCAGTCACATAAATCTAGGATTTTTTGTGTTTGAGTTAGGAAATATCACAAATAAAGCACACAAAAAGCCATCTCCTTCACTACAAAAACCTGATTCATTCCTAAAACAGGTCTGTGCTATACAGTGAATGGGGCCAAAATCTAGTGGAAAAGAGAGTATGCAGTTATGTACCTGAAGACTGTATCAAAATGCAAATTCAAAAGAGGACCGAAAGACCAGTTTCTTACCCTACAGGAACTGTAGGTCTTTGAGGTATTGTAAGCAGAGCAGTGAACCACATTTCTAATAGTTATGTGGCCTTGCTTATATGTGAAGGTGTGAATGTTGCTCTGTCTGGCACAACATTTGGGGGGAAAAAGGGGAGGGAAGAGGAACAAAACCAAACCTATGAAAGAGTGATATTTTTAAAACCCAAAATAGCTGTTGAGGTCAGGCAAAACAAGGCAGACATAGGGTTGCCACATGTGGGAGGGAACTGAAGGCGTCATGGCCGCTCTATCCTTTGTACTCTCACAAAGCTGTCTTTGTTTCTAGTTACTGAGAATGAACATAAGGTATTTTTTAAAATCTTGTTTTATGCACAAGGTTTGCAGAATCATTCCTAGGGAGACCAGATTAATTTCTGCTCTCTTACACCCAGTGATGTCCGCTGAGCTATCCAGGTGTTAGGAGGGGATGCTGTATGGACAAGTATCCTTGGTGCACTTGTGTAATAACATGAGCTGTGCACTGAGGAAAGTTGATATCCTACAGGCCTCCAGATTTTATGCCTAGGTAGGAAAATATATAATATTTGCTCTTACAACAACTTCTACTGTGATTATTTTACTTTTGCAGTACACTGTCAAGAGCACGTTATATTCAATAGAAGAAAATAGAGGACAGATGCCTTTTCAGAGTCTGTGTCTGTGTGCCATGTTTTTATCTCTTTTAATCATAATGGGTGTGAGGTTGGTGTGGGTGGAAAGAGAGGACAGTCTAGTGTGGGTGGAAACTGAGAATAGTCTTGTCATGTCATAGCAGAAAAACTCTGGTACTCAGAGAGAGAAGAAAAGAATAACAGATATTGAACATAAACTTGTCAATGGCTGGATGATTTTCTCAGTTGTGTTCATTTTTATAAAACTGAGAAAAATTATTCATTTTGAATGAATAGAAAAACCAAATACTGTATATGACTTAAAAATCATATTTGCTAGTGGACTGGAATTCTTAAATATTTTTTCCTGAGAGGCTATGACTGTAGCCTTTATTTATTGGACTAGAAAAACAGAGTTACCTAACCAACATTTTAAAATTGTATTTTTAACTCCTCAGACCCATTATTTTCACTCAACACACAAATCTAGTGGGATTTATACTCAGGCACTGTATACAAGTGCAAGGCTCAAGGTTCTGATTTTATTATTCCATTTAGATTTACATTTCTGTCCCGTAGTGAATAATGCATGAGATTTACCTGAGTGCAGTTAATTCCAGGGGTAACAACTAGATGTGTTGGTGTATAATGGCAAAGTTGGCATTCTCTAAAGTGCCATTCTTAAGGATGAATAACATTTCATTTAATATTAGTTTCGCAGCAGCAGCTATTTCAAGGTGTAGAGACAGATGGCAGTAGTGAGCTGTCATCCCAGTTTTTTCCTAGGTAAGAATGTTTCTGTTAACTGGCGGGAAGAAAATAGAGAGCCTTCCCACGGAAACAACCTGATATTACCTTGAATTGTGAACGTGCATGAGTGATCACTTCTGTACCATGTAATTGGACATAAAATAAGTGATTTCTGTAGCTCTATTAAAAGCCTACATCAGCTATAAACCTCAAGTCATGCTTGCTTAGTGGACATATTCTGCTTACTACAGTGTGATTTTGAGACTGTAGTCTCCGCTTATACTTATTATTTGTAGGCATGTCTAACAAATTGGCTGCCATGCCAGGCTGTGGTATCTGAGTGCTAGTCACCTCTAACTTGTGTAAACACAAAGAGAATCAGGATATGTACTACGAAATCTTGCAGCACTTAAAGCAGCTTGGGGTGCTTGGTTTGAGGGCCACTTGTGTTCAGTGAACCAGTCAGAATTTTAATTTTTAATCAGCAATAAGCCATTAATCTAAAAATAATCATCTTGTGAATCCCTCAGTGTTTAGGGAAACCTCTTCCACAGCTATCAGTCTGACTTCTGTGGCTGTCATAGAATAGATCAGAAATAACATAATTTCCAACTGTTTTTATGTATAAAGTTTTATTTAAAATTTCATTAAAAGGTAAGAACTATACTGAAGTATTAATTCCCCTCTGCACACCTCATTTTACATTAGCAATTAACTCTGCTTCTTTTAGGTTGAGTCATTTTAACCGGATCAATTATCTGATAGTAATTACCAGCACCAAATGATGATTATTGCTCAAGTAACTTTCTGGTTTCAATACCACTGTCACTTCAGACACATTCACAGATACACAACTGTTTTAATACTGAGCAATGATTTGCTGTGGTTTGGCCTAAATTATTTTTAAATCCTTAAACTTAAGGTACTAACAGTTTGAGTCAGCACAATTTTGTTCTTATTAGTTTTAATGTTAGCAATGCAGAAAATCAATACACAATCTGAGAGCTTGAGCTTCTGAGATGAGCAAAAAGCAGTAAGATACATTTGATTGTAAGAATGTTTCTTCAGCTTTTTCTTAGATTCTTGCGTGCTATGCAAAAGGCTTGTTCTGCAGCACTAAAACTAATGATGAATCATCCTGCAAAAGGCCTGGTGCAGTTTGGCAGAGCCTTATGAAATTTGGTGTTCATGTCAAAGATTATCTTTGCACTGAAGATCTCAAAGAAACACATGGGAAATTGAAGCAAGAGTTGCCCTTCCCTTCACATGCTCCTCAAAAACCCTAAATTGCCAGTACGTCCTGCTTTAGGGTGGATCAGAAAATTGTACTCTGTATTAGTGCTGGCAGTTTTCTAAGTTACACAGTATAAACTCTCTGAAGACCTTATGCTTTTAATAATGTGACCCACTGGAAAATCTAGTGGAAGGAGATTGACAGTCTTTTTTTTGTAATCTTTCTGAGTTTTGGTAAACTCACTTCATAATAACATTAGTTTACAGCCTACTTTTTAATTCTGTCCACTAATACAATTAAATATACTTCTGTAATAGCAGACTTCTCTAGGAAGTTCATCTATTTCTACTATGGTTATCCCACAATTGAGAAATAAGGCCAAGAAGAAGAGGATGTAAACTTAGAAGGAGAATGTTTTACTTCTCAGAATTCAAGATGCTAATATTGAGTATAACAGGATAGTGGTGGTATGTCTCATTTATGCAGCTGGTTGAGGAATTCATTAAGAATAATATTTGTTATGAATAATGCAAATGAATTTTTGGATAGTGCATCCTATACTTGTTCAGGAATAAACTTTCCATTATTTGACTAGTTCTACTTGGCTTTTTTTTTCTTTTTCTCTGTGTTGGAACCATCTGTTGTTGAATCTGAGAGTTCTCTACAAGTTTTATCTCTGTATGCTGTATTCTTAAATAGTTTAATTTTAAAGTTATTTTTCATATTATTCCGACTTTGTGGTATGTTAGTATTTCTAGGTCCATCTGAACACGGGTAATAAAGTGTTTATTTTTGTTTGCTTTAATTGAACTAGTGCACAAAAGCCTTATTTAGTGTCAACACTATATTTCAATAAGACCACTATTGATTTCTAACAAAGCATATGATGAAAGAGTGCAACAACAGGGTGATATAGACAGACCTTACCTTTCTTCTTTAATTCTTTTTTTGAACATTTAGCACTTATTTCTAGCTCTTACAGCTGTTGTGTCCCGCTTACAGAGGAAGTACTGACTCCAGAGTCTTGGGTTGAATCCTTCTGGGTGTAGCTGGCATGGGGAGTGCAGTGGGTTGGATTGGTACCTTGTACTTGGAATATACAACTTGCACCCAAGTGTGCACACAGAAAAAAGCAGCTTTAGTTTGAAATGTTGGGAAAAGATCTGGTTCCTCTTTTTCCCCCAAATCTTTTCATTCATTGGGGAAAGGGTAAAATTTAACTAACTGCAGAAATGATAATTTATCATGTGCTGGGTCTGTTTGTGTCAGAATGTAAACAAGGAAATGCTCATCCTGTATGTTTTCTTCTTAAGTAAATGAGAGCAAACAGTTATTTTTAAAAAAACATTCTTTGTCCTTAGTTACTTATAGGCTAACAGGGAAAAAATGTCTGTCAGAAATGTCCTAATAGGGGTAATCCTGTTGACCAAAATATAACTTAACATAGGTTTATCTTTAACACATGGATAGGTCAGCAAACAGATAGCAGGTAACTGTTTTTGGCCTTCAGCAAATCCTTTTTTTGTAATTTTGGCTAGAAGAGGATTTTGAAGGTAGCCAGGGAAAGATTTTAAAGCTTTAATTTATTTTCCTATATACCTTAATGCTGTAGCTGACCTTAATTTATTTTTTTTCCTTGCCTAATAGGTATTAATGACCAAGGATTGTACAGAGTTGTAGGGGTGAGTTCTAAGGTCCAGAGACTTCTGAATTTGTTGATGGGTACGCCTCTTATTTTATAATATATATTTTTTACTATATCTTGATTTATATTCATGGCTGTTCTAATTTTAATGTTAATAATTCACTGTTAATATCTTATGTAATATTTATTTCTGCTTATTCTTCATTTCGGGGAAAAGAGAGTTGGCCCTACTCATGGATAAATGTCCCATTCAGCATTCGCTGTGACCACCCGGATAAGGAATGCATAAAGACTTAGCTGTTAATGTAAACCAAGGAAACAGCCAAAAAAATATACTGGAACAAATCATGGGTGTGGTGTCAGATGGTTAAAAGAATCTGGCTTTTGAAGAAAATGTCCATACAAGTTAGGGATAAGAGACTCTTGTTACTATACCTTCCTGTTGTTAGTTTTCCTTTAAGCAACTTAAGTATGGTCTACATTCTATTTTTATGCTAGCACAGTGGTTAGGGTTTGATTTGATTTATG